ACCTCTGAAGAAGCCTCTGACTGAACAACTTGTGTTCCTGTATAAGAGTCTCTTGAGGAGAATGCCCAGGGTTCTCCATAACTGTCTTGAAGAATTCTTCTGTCCACAATGATCTCTAGATATTCCACAGTAGTGCCTTTACAGTAGTGGATGACAAAGTCTCTTCTCTTGGATCACTGGGGGTTCATTTCTGCCTCAAAAAACGATTTGATGGGATGCTGGAAAAAACTATTGTTGTGCACAAGTTGTGCTAAAAGAAGTTAGCTTTTCAGGTCTAAAATAGCATCTCAGTGCTAAGCATATTGCAGCAGCACAAACATCCCTGCTAATATCAGCATCCACAGTCCACATTTCTAGAGGAATATTTTTTCAAAGAAGCTAAGTGAATGATCTGGGGTTCCGAAAAACTTGAAAGCTGAATGGATAATTGCACTTTGCACCAGTCTGATGATGGATAACATAAATAAACAGATTAAAACAATATATTTGTTGTTGAGCTCATATTTTTATTTATTCAAACATTTTGTACCAAAGTAGTTTTTGATTTGAAAATCTATATTTTGTCAGAATATGGCTTTCAAATTAAAATGCAATTACTTTCTATTGATTACTTACAGACCCTGCAGTCACTGCTTGCCTAAATATCTTTAAGCAAACTGATTCTTTTATGTACAATAGGAAGAGTAGCTATGAGGTAGGTGTTACTGAAGTGCTGTTAATTTGTATTTTGTGGTCTTTCATGCCCAAAAAGACTGGTTGAGGCCGAGTATTTTATTGTTGTTTAGTGTGGTTGAAAGCGATTGGAATGCTGATTGAACAGTTGGTGTGTGTATCAGCTCTGACAGCTGCAGCAGGCCATGGAAAGCTTGCTGTGTGTAGACTCCTGCTGGATCAGGGAGCTGCTGCTGAGCAAGGCAACAGGCATGGCATCACTCCACTCTTCAGTGCCGTGAGACAGGGACACACACAGGTAAAACCCACTTACAGGGTAACAGTTGGACTTAATCCCACAGAGACCAAATCTCTGCCTCTTCCTTTGTTTCTCCATCAGGTGGTGGAGCTGTTGCTGAACTATGGGGTTGAGGTGAACAGTGTGGACCAGCAGGGTCGAACAGCTCTGATGATGGCAGCCTCAGAAGGACACATTACCTCCGCCCAGATTCTGTTGGATCACGGTAACATTCACCTTACAAGGCTTCTGAGTCCAAGTTTGGCATATAGTGTCTTTGCAAAAGTATCCATGCCCTTGAACTTTCTTACATTTTGTCTATGTTTTCATAATTATTCTATTTCAAATAAAACTCTCAAATATGCCTATTTAATTCTTTTATTGCTTTTTACTCTGATACCCCTTAATATATTTCAACCAGTTGCCTTAAAAAGCCATCTAATTCAATCCGAGTATTAATCTATTTGTTCTGTGAAGACCTCAGTGGGTTGTTGGGGAACATTAGAAAATGAGGATCATGAAGACCAAGGAACACAGCAGATAGGTCAGGTAGGTAGTGTTTGGGTCATAAATTGTATTCCAAACTTAGAACAAAGTTTTGCTCAATCCTTCTACTGAGCGTAGAAAGTAAATGGCACTGTTAGACAATGTACTAAGACATGGCCGTCCACTGAAATTTACAGGCTGGGTAGGGTGAATTGGAGAAGCAGCAAATTGAGGCAATGGTAACTCCGGAGGAGCTGCAGAGTGACATCCCTGGCTGGTGAACATGTTGACATGAAAATTATTAGTTGTACACTCAATATTCTGGCAAGAAAAAAAGCAGAAAAAAGACTCACAGTGACACGTGGTTGTTGCATCATCATGTAATGGGGATGCTTATCATCAGCAGGGACAGGGGGCTGGTCAGAGTTAAAAGCAAGATGGACAGGAACAAAAGGTCCAGGAAGAAAACATGTTACAGACTGCAAAAAGCATGACTCAGGCAGAGCTTCACTTTCCAGCTTCACAATGACTCGAAACATACAGTGAGTGGGTCCATGTACCTTTCATTCAATTGTGTTTTTGAAGTAGAATCAAAAATTTGAAAATTAAAAAATTTCATCTGCAACGACTGGTACTGGCGACATGTCCAGGGTGACCCTGCCTCTCGCCCGCAAACATTCTGAGTGTGAGCGTCAGGAAGTATTCTGTTCCCATATAAATATGTGTTTCTCCTGTGTCAAAAGCCTACACTGCAACCAGAGAGGCGGGGATCCGACATATACATTTAGGAGGAGCTGTCTGTCTTTCCGTCCTCATCGTGGCACTCTGAAGACAGGAACTTCAGGAACAAGAACATTAACAGACAGAACCAATGTGTAGGGTTTGCCTGCAAAATAATACTAGCTATCTAAACAGCTAAACAGAATAAATGCAGAAACTTCACAGACTCATCGATGATATCTTGTGGACTTTACTGACATCAGTTTTTCTGTGAAACTGTAACAGGATAAACAAAGGAATACAAGTATCAGTGATGCAAAAGCAATGTCAAAATCACTGCACACACTATTGTTATACACAGACTAGCGGTCTTAGCGTAGTAACAGGCTGAGTTTACTGCAAACATAATGATACATAATTTATCTATAAATGAATGTCTTCAGTATGTGATTAACTCAACTTATAATACTCACAGATGATCCATTAGGAGACAAGAAAACAACAGGGCTGAGGAGCTGCCATCTGGCTGCAACTGCATTGTACTTCCTGTTTTTCTACTTCTACTGCTTTTTGATGACTAACCCAGAATGGAAAATAAGACAACAAAACAGTGAACATCACAACCACTGATGGGAATCTGTCAGAAACCCCACAAGGAATCTGGGAGCAGCTGAGGACACTCTGGTGCAGGACCCACCTGAACCCCACAGTAGTGCGAGGTGTCGGGACCAGAGGCGAGCCCATGAATAACAAAACACATGAAGACTAGAAAATAAAACCCATAACAAAGCCATTAAAGACCCAGACAATGTGACAAAAGCAAGTTAGGATTTATCATTGTATTGTGAATATAAACAAAAAGCTCAAAGGGTATGAATACTTTGGCATGGCACTGTGTACTTGCACATGGAGGGTGAGTAACTTTTTACCATAAGAATCAACTTCTAAACTTACTGTTTGACACAGTAAAATCAGTTAAGTGATTGTCATCTGTCTTCAAATTAGGGGCCTCTCTCAACCAGATCGATAGGGAAGGCTTGACTGCTCTGAGCTGGGCATGCCTCAAAGGCCAGTTCCCATTGGTCAGGGAACTGGTGGAGAGAGGGGCAGCCACTGACCATGCTGACTGCAGCAGTCGAACACCTTTGGACCTGGCTGCCTTTTGTGGAGACCCTGAAGTGGTTAGCTAACACAGATACAGATGTGACTTCATATGACCAGACATAGTGTCCTCTAAATTCTGTCTGCAGAGCTAACAGAATTTGAAGATACATTTATTTGCCAAAACCCATTGTTGCAAGTTTTAACTGATTGAAAGATTTATGGCTGAAATAATAAGTGAGTTCTGCTGGCTTGGAAGAGTGATGCTTAAGAATGACTATTTTTACTGTATTCATTGTCTTAGTAAAGTTGGTGTTTACTTACATGTCTGTGCTGCTGCAGGTCCAGTATCTAGTGGATCATGGAGCGTTGGTGGAGCACATGGACTGCAGTGGGATGCGCCCTCTGGACCGAGCAGTTGGCTGCAGAAACACTTCAGCAGTTATTGCTCTTCTCAAGAAAGGAGCTAAGATTGGTAGGAACATGACTCAGAATGTTTCGCTGCTATCACAACACCATTGTTAACGGTGGTAGGAGTTCACCCTGCAGTTGGTGGGTTGCGGGTTTGATCCCTGGTTCACTTGCGTTTGTCACTGGGCAAAACACTTCACCTGAGTGCCCAGTGGCACTGACTCATGGCAGCCGTCTTGGTTCTGTCAGACTTCCAATGGACCCTGTGGAAACAGAGCAGTAGTGGCTACTGTCCAGTAGCTTGCCACCATCAGTTTAGTCTCAGTTATTCTTTAGTGTTAGAATTAGTTCCTGTTCCCCTGTGTTCTCTCCCTCACTCTTCTGTGCCACTTTCTCTCTCTCTCTCCTCAGTCTAATAAATAAAATAAAGCCTTTTATTTATAAGTAGTGCGGTGTCTTCTGTGCCATATGAAGCACATATCAGGGCTTGTGTTGATGAAGCAGGTTGTGATGTTTGAAGCCTCGCAAGTGGGCCATACCATGTGACTGATGTGGGAACTTGCGGATCGAAATAAATGGCAAAGTGCTGCTGTTTCACCAATCATGTTTTCTTGTTTTAGGATTTTATTGCATGTTTGCAATTCACTGGAGCATCTTTTTTCCAATGGACTGAATTTTCCTTTGTCTGGCAGTGTTTTGATCTCTAAATAGTTTCACACAGTAATAAACCATCACATATAATGTCAAAAAACCAACACAGTGGATCCTGTGTTCTAATTTCTAATGTTTTAAAAAGATAAGTGTCATGTCCAAATAAACTTTAGTGATGTATATAAAAAACCTCATCTGTACTGAGGCATTATTTAGCTCTGTCAAAAGGCAAGTATGCGAACAAGCTCAGCCAAGTCATTTTAGGATGCAAAGATGAGACAGTTTGAATCCACTGGAATATTGGGAAGGTGACAAAATGTTTCAGCCCAACTTCTGTAAACCTGCTGATGCGTTTCTTGCTTCACCAGCGCTCACAGATATGGGTATCTGTGAGCGCAATTTTAACTTTTAATGCATTAAAAGTGTCATTATTAACCAAGTGACACTTCATGACAACAGTCAAACATTCATCAAGGCTTCTTCATGTTCATAACAGAAGTTATGTCATGTTTATGACAGTGTCATGTCAGTCTTATGCACAACCCTTCAAATAAAATGTTACCCAACCATCTACACACCATGACAATAATGGGAAACGATTCAAGGGCTTTGCTTTTGCAAGGTGCTGAAAATATCTGTTTTGGCTATTCATTCTACAGTAAGCCAAATTCTTTTTTTTCCACCTTCATTAAAGTAAATGTTAAAATATATTTATATTTATTCATGTCCATGTGTGCTTAGGACCAGCAACCTGGGCCATGGCCACTTCCAAGCCGGACATTTTAATGGTGCTACTCAGTAAAATTATCCAAGAAGGAGACAGACTGTACAAGGTGAATACTACCACTAATGTCCAGGATAATAACATGCACTGCTACTGATATTTGCAGTAATTCATGTGTGTATATTTACAGCAAGGAAAAGTGAGAGAAGCTGCACAGTCCTACCAGTCAGCCCTCAACAAGTTTCCTGGAGACGAGCTAAAGACATTCAAACAGCTCAGAGTGTGTGTGCTGCTCAACTTGTCCCGCTGCCACCGTAAAATGAACGTGAGTCTCCATCTCCTGGGTTGTTGTGTGTTTTTTTTATCCACGGTCAGTTTAAGTAAATTAGGATATTTTTTAAAAGTAAATTTTTTAAGAACTCAGTTCACTAAGTGAGACACATTATATGGTCTAATTCCATACAGGGTGGAATTAGACCATGTTTTCATGCATTTATTTCTGTTTAATTATGGTTTTTCACTTTCAGTTAAGGAAAACACATTTAAAGTGAAACTAAGGCCACATTTTTTTGCCGATAGACTGTCTAAATACATCATTTAAAGTGCCTCTTTAGGGTTCTTTTAAATGGTAGAAAAACATATTCTGAGGTCAAATTGTAAATCTGATTTCTGTATTTGGTCTCTAATTAGCTACAGAATGTTTTAAAGTGTTGAATTAACCAAAAACCTCCTTTGAGAAAAACCGTGCAGTTTTGTGACGTAACGGCTGAGCTGATTGCTGAGCTGAAGGTGGTTTCGTTTGCTCTGGTGTGGTAGAAACGTGTTTAAGTGCGACTGCTCAGGCTGTCTGGACATGGTGAGAAAAGACAACAAAAAGATTATTTTAGCCTTGGGTGAGATTCATCCAGCTGGAAAGGCAGGATTTCAGCACCGACAATGTGAACTAACACGGCGATCTGTAGTCTGCACTTCAGAGAAGGCTTACAACAAAATGAATGCTACATGGGACCCAGAAGAAATGACTAAATCAGACAGAAATCCACTGCAGTACCACCATAACACAGCAGAGGCACAGAGGGGAAAACGGCACTGATTGGGAGCAGAGACAAAACACTGGCTGTTTCTTCCAGCAAGCAGCAGAAGCTCTGGAGCTACTCCCCAGTCAGCAGCTCCTAAACTGGAAGAACCCAATGGTAGGTGGTACATAACGTTTAATGTTTCAGTACTTTCAATAATTAAAATGTACTGGCGCAAAGTTTAATATTTTGCCATGTCTAATTAGAATGTGTGCAGCTAAGTACATATCGCACTTTTCTCATTTGCAAAAATGAAGCGTTGTTAAAGAAGAAATTTATCTCTCTGATCGCTGTGAACTAATTACTAATTTATGCGGTAATTCAAATTAAAACCAATCATTCTGGTGCATTTTGGTTGCCTCAGGATGAATTTATTACTTTAAACTATTTGTTCTGAAACTTTTTATCTAGTCGTGTCCATTCCAAGACCAGTCACTTAACCAGTGTCTGGTCTTGGAATTAAATTGGAACCAGTCACCCGTTCCAATTTATTTCAGTGATTTGTCTCTTTTGTAATCACTTTTCCAGCAAGAATAACTAATAATATCTCTGGGCTTGTCCTTTACCAGAATCACAGACATCTTCAGGTTACTGCAGGTTGTCCTGCTGCTCTGCTTGGACAGATTTTAGTTGATCCAGGAATTTGTCTTTAATTCAAATAAACCACGACGCTCATTTCTAGCTGTTTGTGGGCATTAAGTTCTAACGGTTGATAATATTGGAACATTGTCATTAATGAATATATTGAATTTTTATATCATAGTTTCCCAAAATCAGACATAATATATTAAATGCAAATATGTGAATCTCTCCTAACTTATCAAATTAAGGTACAATCTGTAAAATGGTAGAAAACAGTTTTAGAAAGTTTTGTCATTTAAATCAAATGTATACACCTAAACTGTTTATATATAAAGTCTAATGAATGTTTTTGGATGCACGGTTGTGCAGATGACAGATGCAATATTGCAGTTGGAAACCCCAGCAGTAACTCCTGGCACAACTGATGAACAATTTGAACCTTACATGACGGATGACTGCATATCTGACCAGTGCCAGTAGCCCCGTCTTTTCCCCCACAACAATTTCATTCATGTGGTCCTGGAGAACAGAGCCATGCTCCACAAAAACATGCTGGTTTTCTGGGATTTATGGTGACAATTTGCACCAAGTCAAAGCTGCTACAAAATCAGAAACTAATTAAAACTAAACTTGTAATATTTTTATACAGTTTATGTGGTCAAAGTATTCTATAAAGGTTTATTACTTCAAAACTATGAGTCCAGAGTCGTCTTTTGAAAGCCTTTGTTGTCCTCAGCTTCATCAGGTGAGGCTGTTCTGATGATTGCAGATGTGCTGCCCAATGATGCCTGGAGTCCAGCAGATCATCTGCCTATAGGCAACACATCTGCAAGCTATATAAAGACTATTAAATTGTCACATTTAATACATTTCATGTTTTAGCTCCTCAGGAACATTTTGATGAATGCAGTTTAATTGTGTACAACATTAAACATTTTGTGAAGCTGAATGTTTTTGTTTATTTACCTGTGATGTTGTGTAGCCAAATTGTACAAAACTGTACAATTTGAATAATAAGAAATGTTATTGTTAAATGACAGGTGTAGGGGGGCCCTCCCTAAATGTAATAAGCTAAGCATAGTACATTATCTGAACAGCAGCTCTCACCAGAAGGCTGGTTGAAAATTGACAAGCTGGTATGGTAAGACTGAACATGAGTTCTAGAACATGAGTTCTAGACTATACACACTCACCAATGGTCACAAGTATTGCTGTCCATTGGTCCAAAGTGATCACACAGACACCTGAAATACTACATTATGAGAAAAAGCCCCAAAATTCTAAGAACTAAAAAGAAATTCTCCATAATAGAATTTATTGGTTCAAAGAAATTTTATTTGTACAGAATGAAGCTACAGTGAGCTTGGCTTGTATTCATGCATAGCAGTGACATGGGAAATAAACACCAGATACTTCATCTAATGGAGCCAGAGTCCCAGCTTTGACCTGGACGAGGCTGTGGAGAGTGTTATTAAATCTTCCAGAGGTATGAATATTTCTGAGCCTAATTGTATGTATGCTTATTTATCCATTTTATCGTGGTAGATATATTCCCATAAAAATGTTGTTTTCCATTACAGTATCTGTTGTTCTACTGTTTACTATGCTGTCAATAATTCTAGCTTCTGGCTCACCTGTGAGCCTTCGATCTTAAACATGTCGCCAATTTAATGCTCAGGATTGGTCACATCCTCCAGGTCCTACTGAGTGTGTTTAGTTGCACATTCCAGAATGTTCTCCTCCATCTACATCATTAATGGTTGCCGCTAGGGACCTATTCTCAGGTGGAGCAGTAAGCAGGCTAGGTAGAGACAGTACTAGTACCTTTTATTTTGAGATATTGGCCATTTTTGCACCGAAAATGTGAATTTAAATCCTGTTACGATACAAAGGTTTCAACATGCTTAAAGTGAAAGATGCACTTTAAGGTTTTATCTTGATGTTTCTGTACAAATTTTGACATTTTTATGTAAGTTAGTTCCACAACATAAAACCTTTTTAATGTGTTTGCATCGGTGCCTAAACAGTTGAATTCTCCTATTGTTTAAAACGATACAGCTTTTCATCACACAACCCTCCTTTTGAGCATACAACAATCTCATCCAGACACAAACACCCACCTAACCTAGAGACAAGTCAGGAGTTGGAGTAGGAAGCCTGGCTGTGGCCAACATTGATCGATAACGTTATTGAGCTTTACAAACGCTTGTAAAAGGCCTGTACAAACTTTGTTCGGGTCTACACCTAAAATGTTACACATTTCTTTGGTATATGACCTTATGTTGTAGCTCATACAATTGATATATAAAAGCAATTTAAAAAAATACCTATTGTGGTCTTAACACTTTTTTGTATGAAACTTATGATGGACTAAATTCACTTTCAAGAGTGGAAAATTGTTTAAGAAATAAAAGTCTAACCACTTTAGCCACGTGTTTCTTACGTTCACAAGCTTCATTAAATAATGCCTTCCTCTTATCTATTTGGTGTCATGATCAACAATTTTTCTTTCTTTGCCGCTTCCTAGAAACAAAAGGTGGCTCAACTTACCCTTTGGCTCAATTTACCCCAGTCTCCCTACGGAGGCTGCAGACTTTGACGCAGCCAGTCTTGCTACAAGTGCCATCCTCTGTTTTCTTGCAGCATGTCTTTCTTCCTTCCTCCTTGCATCTTCCTGTCAGATTACTGTCAAATAAAGGCCACTAGTACCAAAAGAATTCTAGCATTTTTTGAGAGGAACTTCAAATCTTTGTGTATTATTTGTGTGTTTTTTGTGTGTTTGTGTGATAGGACTTCAACCTTGCTGAGGAATTTGCTACAAAGGCTCTAGAGCTGAAATCCAACTCCTACGAGGCCTTTTATGCCCGAGCCAGGGCTAAACGAAGCCGCAGGTATCCATTCATTCCATCACAAAAGTTAATCAGTTTGACTCAGAAATTGCCAGTTACATGAAATTAAATTGGCAAAGCAGGTTAAAGGCTATTTGTCAAGTTAGTGGCATAGAGAGCATGAAAATATTCAGTGTTTTTTCTTTCATTTGTTTGTGATCTTAGCCTCTGAATAAAACTATCATGCTTAGTTTTGTAATGGATTCAGACATGACTGATTTTCAGTTAATGCTGGTTGATCTTTAAATTTTCAGTGATGTCTTCTAAACAGCACAAATGGACATTTTATCAGCACAAACGTGCCGACACCAATTTGTTTGACATGAAGAATATGTGGGGGTTGGCTCACCTTTCATGACTTCAGGAAACTTTTACTAAATTCTTTAATATGATAGTAGCACAAACAAAAACACTTGTAGCGCAAACATTTGGCACCAATTATGTTGGAGTTGAAGAAGGTAAGGAAAGGTGGGGGAACTGGTTGACCTTGAAAATTTTCTTAATATCTTCAAAACAAAAGCAACACAAAGACTTTTATCAGCACAAACGTAGCAGAGTTTGACACCAATTTTTTATTTCGTAAGTGTGGTGAGGCTGGTTGACATTTTCTGACCTCTACAAACATTTATTAATATCTTTGAAATTACAGTAGCACAAACTAAAATTTCTGCTGTACAAAAGTTTGATACCAATTCTGTTTGATTTGAAGAAGGTGGGAGGTCCACATTCATTCGTGGGAGAAACTATTATCCTGACTTGGAAACTATGTAGAACCTATTTCTACAGCAATATTTCAGTTCTTAATTGGTGACTTTAATTTAAAAGATGGGATCCTTGATACGATTGACCAAAATGAGCTGCCTCTGGGGGGTGGCTGGACTCAGACTTCGAGAAACAGTAGGGTGCGCCCTCATCCAGGGAAAGTTCAAAGTGGAGCTGCTGCATTAAGAGGAGACAGTTGAGGGGGTATGGTTATGCACAAATGTTTAGATGATCACAATGCCTCCTGGACGCTTCCCTTTAAAGGTTTTCTGAGAAAGTCCCACTGGGAGGAGACTATGTCTGGCCTGGAAATGCCAGAATGAGCTGAAAATGTTCAAATACTCAGTGTCAAAGTGTTAGTGATTTTGACCCGATTTGAATACGAGGAAGATGGTAAATGGGTGGACAGATAGATGGATGACTTTAATTCATATTTTACTACTTTACGTTACATTTCTTTGAACCATTGTACTAGGTCTCTAGTAGTGGTGTGCGATCGATCAGCCACTGATCATAAATCAGCCAGTTTTCATGAAAATGTATATGATGGGAGTTCCCCGATGACTAGCTGTAGTTGCCAATCACAAAAACTGATCACCCATGTCTCACACTTTGCAGGATGCAGAGATCCCATGTGCAACATATCTCCCTTTTTCCTTCACTTTGCACAAGTGTGCAGCAGCAAATCCTAAGCAATGTCATGTGTAACTTTTATGCTCCGAGAGTGAAAGTGGAAGTTTGTGTCTTGTGATGGAAAATGACTTCGGGGATGAAGCACATCATCAAGCTAACTGACCAGAGGTGGAAGATGCTGAGTTCCATCGACTACTCTTGCTGATAAACTTCTGCTACTGGAACGTAAGCACAGATGTAGAGCCGTTCAAGCTCCACCAGACAGTGGACTCTCACATAGAAGGTCTGGTTGAAGCTGCAACATGTAACTTAAAAGCAGAAGTTTTTATGTATTACAACTTTCACTATGTCCTAACATGAAGCAGAATCTGTGAAAAAAATCAAGTTGATTTGCCTCCTCCTTGTATTCTGAGGAATACTCCATTTGGTTAGGAACAACCAATCAGAGCCAGGAGGCGGGTCTTGGCGCTCAGTCACTTTTGACATTGCACAACAGTTTGCACTGACTGCAAAACTGACTGAGAGGACTCTGTCAGTTTTGATTTAGTAACTTAGGATTGTTTATTTGAATGCAACCTGTATTTGAACATTTCCTTTTTTACTTGACTTTTTTTTTTTTTTTTTTTTACATAGGTAGTGTTGTGAGATTTATTTGACTCTATGTATAATTTGGGATGTTACTGCCTTAATGTTAACTATTGTATTGCTGATTGCAGGTTGTTAAGTTGTCCTTTTGACCTAATTTTTGCTGTTTGTATGTTGTCTAAATTACTTGATTTTATGGTTCCCTTTTGCTAGATCACATAGCCAGTAGCATTTATACCTATATGAAAAAACAAAACAACCAATCCATGTGATCAGTATTAGTGATTGGCACTGACTGGTGATTGATATTGGAATCAGCACCAAAAAACCTGATTGGAGCACCCCTAGTCTCCAGCACATCTGAAACAACTTTCTTTGGAGAGTTATAATCAGGTCAATTATCGCCCATCCATGGAGAGGCAAGTCAAAAGAGGATAACAGCTAAAAAGATTAGGAAACACAGGGTGAAGTTACTTATTTGTAGAATAAATTTTATGAACGAGTTCAACAAAGTTAGAAGTTCCATTTTCTCCGTTTCTTTGACCTTTAAAATGCTCTGTTTTGTTTTTGGTGTCCCTTCAGACAGTTCCATGCTGCGTTGGAGGACCTGATTGAGGCCAGCTGTCTATGTCCATCCAACAGGGAGATCCAGCGCCTTCTGTCTCGAGTGAAAGAAGAGTGTCGGCAAGTTTCACAGCAACAAGACTCTCCCTCTGCTTATCAACACCAGAAGGCGATGTCCACCAGTGAAGCCAGGTGTAGGGATTCCAACTGTCTTCATGTGCAGAACATGGAAAGCTTTAACAGTGAAGACGAGGAAGTGGAGAAAGAAAAAGAAGGGTATTTCAGGGAAGATGAAGACTTTTCGTCCTTTCTTCCTCCTCACACAGTTCAAAGTCTTGACACCCATTACTACCCCGGACTGAAATCACCATCTTCTCTCTCTCCAACTCATATGCATCAGTGCCCCTCTAGTCCCACTCATTTAGCAGACCTCTCTTCCCCCAGTCATTCTTTGCTACCTCCCACTTCCCCCAGCCATCATCATGTTAGTGCTCCTTCATTACCCCTGCAGCATCCACAAAGAGCTGGCTCAATGTTTGAAAGTGGAGGACAACACCACCTTCAAACTGTCTCAGTGCTTAGCCCAGGAGATCATAATCAAGGCAGGCATCAGAACAACCTTGGTTCCGATCAGAAATCCCTGCTAAAACGCAGCCCTCCCAAAAGCCAGTGGCTCCAGAATACCAAGGCTGAGGTCATCCTGAGCAGTCAGCCAAGCTCCTCAGTCCACTCTGATTTGGTTTTAGGGAGTTCTGCCTCCTCCCAGTTTACCAATCTTCCTGAAGAGTTAGCAGAGTTACGGGAAGGCTTTTACCCTAGACCGTTTGATGTCAGACATGGCCCACTTGTCTGTGGTGGTGTTGGTTCCAGAGCGTCTCATGTTTTGGACAATGTGGGTGTTTCACTTGTTTGCCAGACACAAGCAACACCTGTGCATGGCAGAGGAACAGCAGCGGACAGATTGGTAGTAAGTGTTTTTAGCCAGCCTCAACAGTTCAGCTGCAACCAGTCTAAAGCAGCTTACTACCCAATGGAATTTACAGAGGCAACTATGGGCAATCAGTCACTGCAAGACTTTAACTATCAACACCAGGGTGGACTTCATCTCCCTCTTAATGCCCACCCGACCTCCACCTTCACTCCTCCTCCCAGGTCTCTTATACACTCCCAGAGTGTGAATGTGCGCTTTTCTTCCAACACTGCAAGTGGGCTGCTAACTAATGAAGGTCAAGGATTCAGGACCTCAGTCTCTGCCCAGCACATGGATCTACCTTTAGAATCTATGGGAGATGCTTATGGTTGTCATGATGATCTTTTTCTTAATTCCTCTAAGCAGTCAGAGATCTGCATGACTGGAGGAGGGACATATCCTGGAGAGGCAGGACGTTCTTCCAGGAACACACCTTTTATGGGCATAACAGACAAGTCGGTACGGGTGCACCAGCAGTACCAGCAGCAGGTTCCTTCTAGTTCAGCATCCTGCCTCAGCCTCTCTCACTCCTGGGCTGTTTCTTCAGTCGACACAATTGTCACGTCACCTAGCAAAAGCCCTACCAACCAGAGAGGCTTGGCTCCGGAAGCCCCATTATCTAATGCCTACTATAAATGTAGCAACAACAATGCTCACAACAGCCACCTCCACCTTGCACAGGTCCAAACGGACCTGTGCAAGGTGGTCCCTAGTAACAACCAATGGAATGAAGATTTGGGGCAAGTTTCAAGTCAGAACCCTTCCTATCTTGATGTGAATGTTGCCCAAACACTGCCGGTTAGCCAAAACTGCTCTGACAGGTCAGTAGAAAGGATTGTACCTACCTCTCCTGTCAAACCAAAAGGGCCCTTTGTTGAGTCAAATGTGTAAAGAAGAACAAAAAATAAAGGTTTAAAGGATCTCATCGGGAAGTGTATTTCAAGTTGGGGTTTGGAATTAATAACTGCTTAAAATAAACTATCCTCAGGAGTTAAAAAGTAAAATGCACAACTAAAATCCCAAATGGCACTCACTTTCAGGTTTTGGTTGGACAAGACTGCACTTTACTGGACATTGTCGCCAGTATCCAGCAGAATTCTGAAAGAGTCTAAAGTATATTCTAAAATTTTGAAGAAAATCATAACTCAAAAGAACACTTTCCCAGTTGCTGCACTGAAGTTCTACATTCAATATCAGTTTTTAAATGACCAGCACACACTGTAAGCATTTAATCTTGCATTGAAGTTTAACAACAAACAACATTTAACCTGGTTTGGTATATTCAGGCAGAGCAAGGAATGATTATTGGGGGAAAAAGAAAAGCAAATTCTCAATCATCAAAGCCACACAATGGTAGAGGAGTATTCTGTGAAATGGAAACAGTGGAAAAAACATAAAAATTTTTCTTTCTTGTTCATCTCCCTTATCTTTCACGCTTTTTAACAGAAAATAGCTCAGTATTACAGGGATATATTCACTAAAGTAAATAAAGCACTGCTGTTACCTTTTCCTGATGCAATGCCATCTGGAATGACATAAATAGAAAGAAGTGAGCTGTAAAAATTTTCATCAGCATCTCAGACCCAAGGCCATAGCTTCAGAAAGTTGGACAATGCATTAAAATTATTAAACACTACTTTGCTGTAAATAAAATGGTTTCTATTTATCAGATATTTTTCAGTTGTGTCTGTATTTAACTATACAGATATTTTATTTTGAAACTGAAATGTAATTTTGTTTGTGCTATGTGTGATGAATTTGTGGCATCTTACTTGGATAAAAAAGCAAATTTGTCTTTTCCAATTTGGTCAGTCTGTTCATGAGGCATGGCTGAATCAAAGTTATCAAAACGATGACTTCTCGTGCATGCTGAAGGGGCATGGCCAGGCCTCAAAGTTTACCCTGAATGGTCTATCTGACCCCTTTGACCTAATCAACATGAAACTGTGTCCAGATGTAACTTGGTTTCCAACACTGACCGTTTTCGGTGGAGCAAGTGGGCGTGGCGGCTTGGCGAAGTGACCTGTGATGCCATTGCCATACCTTCCACAGTTTCAAGTTGAGATGCACCAAACTCATTGGGATCGATCCTTGTCCACCCCCCAACAGGAATACGCAACAATATTTGGTGGGCACAGCCTAATTTCTCTACAGCACCCCCTAGAACAGGGGTGCCCAAACTTTTTGAGAGCAAGATCTACTTTTTCTCTCACCAGCCGCCTGAGATCTACCTCATGACACAACATAAAAATCGCAAATTAAACTCTATTGACTTATTTTATATGCAAATATACATAAGTTATAGCAGAAATAATAAAGTGACAGAAAACCTAACGCAGTTTCTTCCTCAGTGAGATTCTGACACTGGGAGCAGGTTACTGGTTTCTCAGTCAGAAGCTGGTTGCAAACCAGCAGGTGTCAGTCAGTCATGGTAGATCTGAAATTTGGTTTGATGACCTCAGTATGAGAAACTACAGACTGACAGGAGGAACCAAAGAGCCCAGTAAAAGTAAAGGCAAATCTTCTGAAGTCGGGATATAATTAATTTAATTTCACGTAATTTGTTAAAACTTAATGAAATATATTTGTCCTATTTGATGTTTGTTGTGACGTATCCTCCCAAACAAACGAGGTAATTAGTCCAAATTTGTCGTTTATTGAACGTTCAGAAACTACAGCGGGTGTGATGAGCCACAGCAAAGGTAAACAAAGGTAAAACAACCCGAACAGACAATCAACTCAAAACCACTCCTACCTTTTTACTCTCTGTCTCTTTGTCGTTTAAGCACACCCGTTGCCGTGGCAACCGCTTGCACCCCCGCAAGCCGAGCAAGGATTACATTAAAAACACAACATTCAGTCCGTTACAATATCATGTTTCCAGGCTTGATATTTATTTCTCGATTATTAATAAGCCTCTCATGAACACGGCGGTGGTTGAGTGGCTAATTTAAACTCCTGCTCTGCTCGTCAGTCGGTCTTTGAGTCCCCTTAATTTTTTTTTCTTTTTTTTTTTGTTAATGGGACCGAAAGGCACTGAATTGCGCAACACCTTGTTGAAAAAAAAATTACTGAGGTTATTCCTTTTA